GGGGATGGTCACGCCGCAATCCCCTCTCCTCCATTCTCCTCTCGGGATCTTGGGCACGCATGCACACGCTCCCAGCGTGAGCTTTAAGCCACTGGGTCCGGGACGCGAACCGTGGTTGACTATGTGGGAGTCCAGCGACATAGCCATTTCGCTAACTGCTGGTTCTCAAAATGCCATTTTGAAGTGCACTGCAGGCCTGGTAGGGTTACCTGACCCGGTGGCTTAAAACTCACGCCGGGTGCGTGTGCATGCGTGCGTGCCCAAGATCCCGAGAGGAGAATGGAGAAGGGATTGCGGCGTGGCCATCCCCCTGGGGGGGTGACTTCTCGCTTTCTGTCTCTATGTCTCTCTCTGTCTGTCTGGCGAGCGCACGCGCCCTATAGCAAAAACCTCTCCAAAAAAAAAAAAAGAATTTATTTTTTTAAATGAGATAATGAGACCTACCCTGTAGCTGAGCAGCTAAGGGAGCTGGATCTCACATCGCTGGCACAGCTTGAAGGATGGGTCCAGTAGCCTGAAATACACACGGGGTGCATTAGCATCGTGTGCCCAAATTGAGACAACAGTAATATCAGTGGTATCCTTCATTAGGATTATTGCGAGAATTGAAGTCTAGACCAAGTCATTAGCACATGGCTTGAGATGTAGAAAATACTCTCTAAAGACTAATTATTATTAACTATGATGATTTTTAAGCTACAATAATTTAATTTTGCATAACAGAGCACCTTTAATTTTATTTTAGATTGCTTTGTAATTTAACAAAGCTGAGTAATTTAAGAGTTTATATTAGTCAGGACATTTTGAACTTCAGTGACAAGGAAAGAAACGCTGTCTAATATCAGTTGAACCGGCAGTTTTAGGCTCTGTTATGCTGATTGTACAAAAACGAGTCCCTACCAGCCGGTTATCGGGACATTCCCATTTCTTGCTCCCCGGTGACATTCGTCTATGATTTTCATGGTGTTTTAAAACAGGAAAGAACATCACCAAGGTCCTCATCGCAAACCGAGGCGAGATTGCCTGCAGGGTGATGCGGACGGCCAGGAGGATGGGGGTGCAGTCGGTGGCGGTGTACAGCGACGCGGACAGGAAGGCCATGCACGTGGACATGGTATGTCGCTAGAGCCGGCAGCCAGTCTGTCAGTGATAGCATTTATCCCTTTGGTGGGCAGTGTTGGAGTTCTTTATGGAGACAGTCGATATTTGCTCGTGGTGACAGGCTGAGGTAGGTGAGTTCAAGCTGCCTGCTAAGAACTCCTCTCAGGGACATTTCCAAATATCGCACCAGTTGACCTAAGCAGTGGCTTATGGCAGAGCTGGTTAGCAGGCAGGAGTTCTTACCTCACGAAGGACTGGGTAAAACACTGCAAACCGTGGCCAACCCACAGACCACAGCTTCCACAGCTCATGCCCTGATGTGCCAGGACGAGGACCAAGTTCTAGCACCTCACATGCACTCCCCAGTGATCTTAGACAAGTCCCTTCAGGTTCCTGACACCCTTAAGGTCCGTGGCCATTGCTGGTTATTACCTCATACGTCTCCTAGGTGGAGCCCAGTCGTGGACATGTGCAGCTACTAGTCTCCACTACGCCCGCAGCGTGGTGACCAGCTTTCCCTGGGCTGTCACCACCTCACGGCAGCCCGCATGCTCTTCCTCATGGTGCGCCATGACTGTAGCAAACTGATTTTGCTCCCTTTGACCTCGAATGTTCCCTGTAGTGCACAGGTGGGTACTAGCCATGTGGTCCTTTCAGCACGTGTTCTTTCTTAAACAGGCCGACGAAGCCTATGCCATCGGCCCCGCCCCCTCCCAGCAGAGCTACCTTTGTATGGAGAAAATCATCCAGGTGGCCAAGACTGCCGCTGCACAGGTGGGAGACTCTCAGTGCAGATTACCTGTTATCCAGAGGAACTCGCTCTTTATCTCTAGCCATTGTCAAGGGTCACATGCAAACCTTAGGTTGTCCATGTAAACTAGTCCCATCCCTTCTCATTCCTCAGCCTCCGGACCTTCTTACCACATTCTGTGCACTTTAGCTCTTTTGGGAAACTCAGAGGGGAAATCTAGATTCTAAATAAAAAGAGAGAATTCAGCTCTTCTACCCTTAAACCAGATGACAGGATGGAGCCAGCAGGTGGCACAGTGGTTCCAGAGGGGAGATCTAGATTCTAAATGAAAATTAAGAGAGAATTCAGCTCTTCTACCCTTAAACCAGATGACAGGATGGAGCCAGCAGGTGGCACAGTGGTTCAGGTGCTAGACTCCCATATGGCGACTGTGGTTAGAGTTCTAGACCCAGTGGCTTCAGACTCATAGCAGGCCTGGGTGCATGCATGCCCAAAGTCCCAGGCATAGAATGGAGGAGGCTTGTGTGATCATCCCTCCTGGGGGTGGTGCCTCTCTCTCTCTCTTTCTGTCAAGTACACATGGCCTATGGCAAAAACCTAAAAACAACCACCGATGTATGCAATGTCAAATGACAGAATGTGCTCTAAATTATGAAGTCAAATAAAATCAGGAGAGAAATCGTTTTTCCTTCTTGATTACCCAGTCTTACTGCAGGGCCCCTCCACCAATTTCCCAGTATCCCGGGCTCAGAACCTCGATCTTATTACATCTCTTATGCATCCTTCAAAATAAACTCGGGGCCTAGCCAGGATCTTTTCTGGAAGCTGGTTCAAATGAACTGGAAAAGTTAAATGTAAAAAACATTGGAAATGGGCCAATTCCATGGCTTGGTGGTTAAGGCGGCCGGATCCCACATGGTTGACCATGTGGTTTACGTCCCAGACCCAATGGCTTAAGAAGCACGCCAGGCGGGGACCACCAGTTAGTGTAATGGCTATGTCACTGGAGTCCCTTGTAGTCGACCGCCGTTCACGTCCCGGACTGGTGGCTTAAAACTTATGCTGGGCATGTGTGCGTGCGTGCCCAAGATCCCAAGAGGAGAATGGAGGAGAAGGGATTGCGGCGTGGCCATCCCCCCTGGGGGGTGATTTCTCGCTTTCTATCTCTCTGTCTCTGTCTTTCTGGTGAGTGCACGCGCCCTATGGCAAAAGAAAAACCCTCTCTCCCTCCCCCCCCAAAAAAAGAAGCCCGCCAGGCGCAAGTATGTGCATGCCCAAAATCCTGCAGGGAGGGAAATACGGAAGAGAAAGGATTGTGGTGCGGCCATTCCGCAAGAGTGCTCTTTCCTTTCCCCCTCTCTGTCTAGTGCATACGCCCTCTAACTTAAAAAAATGTTAAAGATGGCCCAGCTCTTAGAGGCACAGGTGCGAGCACACCGCTGAGCAGTGTCTGGTGCCATGTTCAGTGCTGGCCCAGGTTCAGTTCCCAGCCCGACCCGAACAGGCCAGGCGTGGTGGTGTGCACGGTGGTCCCAACGGACTGGAAGGTTGGCGCAGGGTGGCGCAGGGTGGCAGTGTAGCAAGATCCTGTCAGGAAGACCCGTCTCTCCTTCTCAAGTGCACTCCTGTGTTCATTCTTCGAGTCTAAAGTCTGGACCCTAGACTCCGAACACAAGGAGATGAATGTGTTGTAAACCTAAATGTAAGAACAAAACTTCTAGGAAAAATATAGGAGAAAATCTTGGAGAACTTGCTTTAGGCCAAGGTTTCCTAGATCGGAAAGGATAAGCATGATATGTGAAAGAACAAACCAATTAAAGGGACTGTATCAAAATTTAAAACTTGCTCTTCAAAAGAAACCATTAATGGGGACCAGCAGGTGGCGTGGTGGTTAAGGCACTGGACATTCCCACATGGCCAACCATGGTTCAAGTCCTGGACCGGTGACTTCCTTTCTCACTTTCTCTCTCTCTCTGCTCAAAATAAAAAATAAATAAATGAATAAATAAGATAAAAAATATAAAAAAAAAGAAAAGAAACCATTAAGTACATAAAAGAGCTAAGCCTCAACTGAAACAAAATGTGAGCAAGACATGCTCAATAAAAGTCTCGTATTCAGAATATGTGAAGAACACCTGGACCTCCATAATAAGACGTCATGATTTCTTTTTAATGGGCACGTATTTGAACAGACGCTGCACCAAATCAGGTAGGCGAATGGTTGGCAAACCTGTTCAGAGGTGCTCAACATCGTCAGCTGTTAGGGGAATACAAGTTAGAACCAAGCGAGATGCTGTCCCGTGCTCACCCACTGCTCCTCTAACAACGCAGACGACCAAGTGTTGGTGAGGGTGTGGAGAAGTGGGACCCTCGTGCATCACTCAGGGTGTGAACTGCAGCCACTTTGGGGAGCGGCTTTGCAGCTCGTCAGGTTGAACAGATGCCATGAGAACAGCAACCTTCTCGGGTCATCCACAGAAGGCTTGAACACACCCACCCGTAGACAGGCGTGCATGTTCGCAGCAGCATTATTTCTAACAGAGGAGCAACCCAAATATTCATCAACCAATGAATGATAAATAAGAGTTTCTATATCCATACAATGGGACACTATTTGACAAGGAATAATGTTAAAAAATAAATACATGCTGAAAAAAAGAATGAACTGTGAAAACATCAGGTTCCGCAAAAGATGCCAGCCACAAAAAACAAAGAAACACACTGCATGTATTGGAGTGTTCTATTTATTTGAAATGTCCACATAAGCGGATTTATAGAGACAGAAAGTAGATTGGTAGTGGTCCGTGACTGGGGTTATGGGGAATGGTTTGTAATAGGCATGGCGGTTTCGTTTGGGGTGATGAAAACCTACATTACTGGGTCTTACTCAGCATCTTAGATTATGCTGATGCTTGCCCAACTCTGAACGTGCTGAAGGTCATTGGCTTGGATAAGGCTTATGACAGAAGTCATAGTTCAGCCGTGACGCTTAACAAGTGCCACGCCATCACTCACCCGCTGGAAAAGCGAACATCAAAGACTGACACTATAAATGTTGCAGGGATATGAAGAAGCCCGGAACCTTCACACAACACTGGTGGAATGTGAGCCACACAGCCACTTTAAAAATCAGTTTTGCCAATTCCTAAAAAGTTCGACATATACTTACCATGTATGGCCCAACCATCACGTGCCTGGGTGTTTACCCAAAAGAAATGAAAAATATACTCCTACAGGCTTGGATGTGAACGTTTATAACATTATTCATAAAGTCCAAACTATTTTTTCCAAATGAGCGGATAAACAAAAGGTGGTGTGTCCCCACAGTGGAATTCATATGATAAAAAGAAATGCACTGGGACCAGCAGTTAGCGTAATGGCTATGTCGCTGGACTCCCATGTAGTTGACCACAGTTCGCGTCCCGGACCCGGTGGCTTAAACTCACGCCGGGCGCGTGTGCGTGCATGCCCAAGATCCCGAGAGGAGAGTGGAGGAGAAAGGATTGCGGCATGGCCATCCCCCCTGGGGGGTGGTTTCTCTGTGTGTCTCTCTCTCTCTGTCTGGCGAGCGCATGCGCCATATAGCAAAATCCTCTCCAAAGAAAAGAAATGCACCACTGACAAATGCAAGAAGATGAACGAACGTCAGAAAATGATAGTGTGTTTAAAAAGCCAGCCGTGTAGACTGTATGCTCTGTGGTTTCATTTATATGAAATTTTTTTTTTGGAGAAGTTTTTTTTTTTTCGCTCTAGGGCGCGTGCGCTCGCCAGACAGACAGAGAGACACAGAGACAGAAAGCGAGAAATCACCCCCCAGGGGGGATGGCCACGCCGCAATCCCTTCTCCTCCATTCTCCTCTCGGGATCTTGGGCACGCACAAAAAAAAGAAATGCACCACTGACAAATGCAAGAAGATGAACGAACGTCAGAAAATGATAGTGTGTTAAAAAAGCCAGCCATGTAGACTGTATGCTCTGTGGTTTCATTTATGTGAAATTTTATAGAAGGTGAAACTGCAGAGACAGTTTAGAAAGCAGGTCAGTGGTCGCTTGGTTCTGGGAACAGAGATTGACTACATACGGATACATGGGAACGTTTTTAGATGATGGGCATGTTTTAAAAATAAATTGTAGGGACCAGCAGTTAGCATAATGGCTACGGCACTGGGCTCCCACGTAGTCGACTGCGGTTCGCGTCCCGGACCCGGTGGCTTAAAACTCACGCCGGGTGCGTGTGCATGCGTGCGTGCCCAAGATCCCGAGAGGAGAATGGAGGAGAAGGGATTGCGGCGTGGCCATCCCCCCTGGAGGGTGATTTCTCACTTTCTGTCTCTCTGTCTTTCTGGCAAAATGCACGTTCCCTATAGCAAAAACCTCTCAAAAAATAAATTAAAAAATAAGTAAATTGCCGTTGGAGCCAGCAGGAAGTGTGGTGGTTAGGGTGCTGGACTCCCACATGGCCAACCGTGGCTGGAGCCCCAGACGTAGTGGCTTGCTTTCTCACTTCCTCTCTCTCTCTATGGTGAGCATATGAACCCTATAGCAAACTTAAAATAATAATAATAGTAAACATAATAAAAATAAGTAAAATTTTTAAAAAGTAAATTGTAGTGATAGTTGCATAGTTGTATAAATGTACTAAATTCATCAACCTACGAATGGGTTAATGTAATATATTGTAGACTGTAATTCAGAGAAAAACAAAACATAGGCCAGCTCCATAGCCTAGTGGTTAAGGGAACTGGATCCCACATGGTCGCTCATGGTTCAAATCCTGGCCCCGATGTCCTAAACAACACACTGGGCCTATGAGCATTCCCAGACCCCAACAGGAAGGAGAAATGGAGAAGGGATTACTTCATGACCACTCCCCATTAGGGTTGCTTTTTCCCTCTTTCTCTGTCTCTGTCTCTCATTGGTAAGGGCATGCCCTCTCTGGCAATCAAAAAAAAAAAAAAAAAATAGACTGACTATATTTAAAAAATAAGAAACAGGGAGGCCTAAGATGTAGATCTGCTTCACTTTCCTTGCATAAATGTTTTACCATTTTGTGTAAAACAGTAAAATTGAGGGCTAGCAGGTGGCATAGAGGATAAGGCACTGGGTCCTACACGGCTGGCTCCGCCATTTGAGTCCCGGGCCTTCCAGCTGGGAAATCATGCCGGGTCTGTGTGCCCACATGCCTACGGTTCCGAGAGGAGAGGGAGGAGAAGGGACTGTGGCAAGGCCACCCCCCTCAGGGGGTAATTTCTCTCTCTCTCTCTCTCTCGCTGTCCCTGGTGAGTGCATGTGCAAAAAAGAAGGAAAATTGTACTATTGTACTTTGATTTAAATGAAAGAAAACCAAACCGACAGTAAAGTGTGACCACCGGCATTTCATCGGTATGTATGTGGCTCTTTGTTGTTTGCTGTCACTAGGATGTGGGTTTTCTATTCGTGTGAATTTCCCAGCATCTAAAGCTCACCCCTTCAATTTCGAAATGTCCTCTGGATATAAGTATTTTGAAATAGAGATGGGTGAGCTTTTCTTGTCTTCTTCTGCATTCTCTTGGTTATAATTATAACACATGGTTGGGCGAGAGTGGCTTTTTTACGGGACCATCCATGCCTGCTTACTCCTGCTTTGCTCCCCGCTCCCCTTCGCCGTTGTGTTCTCTTAGAAATCTTGTCCTTCAGTTACTGATTTTCCTCTCCCGTGGGCTAGCGCGCTACAGACATGAATTGTGAACGCTCTGAGCAGAGTAGAAGTGATTAGGCTTACGTCTGAGGGGTTCCTCTTTCATTGAAGGACGCACAACCATGAGAGCTTTTTTACGGGAGAGATGACATTGGCAGACAGTGACCTGGAGATAAATGAGTATGCTCTGTCCGGCACTGGGATAGTGTGGGTCTCATTCTAAGCCACTTCTATATGCGGGCTGTGCAAAGAAAAAAAATTAGGCAATCTGACAGAGTGGGGTTTAGAGAGAATGTTAACACGATTCAAATCGGGGAGTGTGCAGACCAACTTCCAGGCAACTCCTGCGAGCCTTGTGGTCCTGCAGGGAGAGGAGAGCGCGTGTGCAGGCACAGGTTAGCCTTGGTCCTGCAGGGAGAGGAGAGCACCGTGTGCAGACACAGGTTAGCCTCGGTCCTGCAGGGGGAGGAGAGCGCGTGTGCAGGCACAGGTTAGCCTCGGTCCTGCAGGGAGAGGAGAGCACGTGTGCAGCACAGGTTAGCCTCGGTCCTGCAGGGGGAGGAGAACACCGTGTGCAGCACAGGAATGGGAGGCACAGAAACGGAAGTGAGGGAATGAGGTCGGGAAGCGATTTCGAAGTCAGTCTGCATCAATACAGTTCAGGAGGCGGGAGCCTGGTTGACTGCAGCCTAGCTGCTGTGACTGGCCGTAACCCATAGCCTAACATGTACGATTTCCGTTCCTCCACAGGAACCCAGTGTGGGAGTACAGCTGGCATTTTAGGCCAAAACTGTTTAGTTTAACAAGAAGAAATAAGCAAACCCCCTTCTCTTACCACTCTGAAATTCTTTACTCCCTGGTATTGTAGCCTAGTAGCAGTAGTCATTTAATTCAAATATAGATCCCTCAGCCAGCCAGTAGCATGGTGGTTAAGGCAGCTGGATCCCACATGGGCGACTGGATAGTTTGGATTCCGGACCTGTTGGCTTGAAAAACATGTCTGGCATGTGTGTGTGCGCGCGCACCCAGTGTCCTGAGAGGAGAATGGGGAAAAGGATTGCGGTGTGGCCATCCACTCTTGAGGGTCCTTTCTCACGTTCTCTGTCTCTCTCTCCAGTGAACTCATGCACCCTGTAGCAAATTAAATAACTTAGTAAATATAAATAAATAAAAACACTTAGCTCTCAATATTTATGAGGGGACCAGCAGATGGTGTAACAGTTATGTTGCTGGACTTCCACGTAGTCAACCACTGTACAAGTCCTAGACCCGGCAGCTTAAAACTCATGCCGGGCGCGTGTGCAGGTGTGCCCCAAGTCCTGAGAAGAGACCAGAGGAGAAGAGATTGCAGTGTGGCCATCCCCCTGGGGGTGATTTGTCACTTTCTATCTCTGTTTCTCTCTGTCTCTCTCTGGTGAGCACACGTGCCTTATAGCAAAAATCTCTCTTAAAAAAAAATATATATATATGTAGAGAGACAGAGAGAGAGAGAGAGAGAGTCTTTTGTACTGTG